ATCTTTATGCATGCAAATCTGTTTCCTTCTGCTTAAAGTCACCCCTTGGTTTCACACGAGGTGAGTGAATGTGGCGTTGCCCTTGGAGCTGCAGCCTCACCTTGCCCTACCCCCTGCCGTGCTTACTTGGCTGCAGCTGCCCTGGTTGCGCTCTCCAGCCTCAGGGCCTCTTTGCACAGGCTGTGCTCCATACCTGCAGCCCTCCTTCCCATCCCCAGCCCTCCACCTGCCTTTTCCCACCTCTCCTCCAGGTCTTAGCTGAAATATCCCTTCACAGCTCATGCAGAACCCCCACGTGCCCATAGCAGCCGAGCACTTTCCTCGATCATGAGTGTGGGTTAGTCACGTAGTAACACGTATAATGCCTGGGAATGCCTGGTGGGCACTGAGAGGCCAGGGAGCCCTCACTGTATCCTGAGTACTTAGCACTGGGTCTGGCACTCAGCAGGCCCTTGATAAATACTTGTTCAGTCCATGAAACTGGATAAGGTGGTGGGGATGAGTTGAGGTTGGGGGCAAAGGGGAAGGCGTGACTCATGCTAACCACCCTCTGAGCCTAAACCAAGAATACTCCATAAGAGGCCAGTGCCTCGAATGTCTTCTAATAGCTCATTTTCTCTGGGACTCTTGTCTTTCTGGCTTCTCCAGGTAATGTGATCTTTGAAATCATCTTTATATAATTTGTGAGATTAGTGTGTGAGCCCCCAGGCTCGCTATGGGATATTTTTGTTACCATTACAAAAGAAATACCAAACGGTGTTTCCCAGTGCAGCTGTCTGCTCCTTTAAAATTGACACCAGAAACTTCCCAGCAATAACAGGACAATGATTTTCTCTGGCAGACAGAATGGACGGAAGTACACAACCCACTGGCCAGTAACCAAAGTAGCTTTAATTCAAGGTGGCTTTGAAGATTTCTTAATAGGAATGCCAATCAGATTTCCATGCTAAGTTTAAAAATTGTAATATATTTTTTGCATTAAAAATAATTACCTTTAATGCTATTAAAATGTCATACTCAAGATACCTTATAATTTGAGAAACACGATGAATTTAATATTTGGAGGACGCAAACATGGGTTTCACAGTGTTCTAAGAACACGCGGCATCTCTCCTTTAGCGTTACCTGGGCTTGACACAGTTTTACCTCCCTTCTTAATTAGCTGATAGATTTGCTTCGAGTCATGTACCCATGTGATAAAAGTTCTTGTTGCTATATTTAGAAGACTGTGTCCAACATAAATTCCACTCCCAGATCTCTTTCTCGTAATGAACCTCCCATCGACATAATGAGGTCCTTGGAAGAAAGGCATTGCGTAAATTAAAAATACTAATGAGTCTTAATGATAATGAATTATTTTCCTTATTACTGGGAGCAGGACTAACCTTGGGCAACTTTTCCAGTAGCTGAAGATGCCTTCCCTCCACCCAGGCCTGCGCTCCCGTGGGATTCAGTACTCTAAAATATCTCTCGCTTTCTCTCATCAAAACCTTGAATCACCCAAATGTCCCTGATCTTAATAGGAAGTCTTAGAGGAAAGGAAGTTGTTGAACTGGTTCACACAAGGCTATGAATGACTAAAAACACCCATTAACCATTTAGAGGCATGCCTAACCTGTCTGTCCAGAGACATTTTTTTATTGGTTGATTGATTGAGACAGAGTCTCACTCTGTTGCCCAGGCTGGAGTATAACTGGCACGATCTCAGCTCACTGCAACCTCCACCTCCCAGATTCAAGAAATTCTCCTGCCTCAGCCTCCTGAGTAGCTGGGATTACAGGTGCTCGCCACCACATCCAACTAATTCTTGTATTTTTAGTAGAGATAGGCTTTCGCCATGTTGGCCAGGCTGGTCTCGAACTCCACTCCTGACCTCAAGTGACCCACCAGTGTCAGCCTCCCAAAGTGCTGGGATTACAGGTGTGAGCCATTGTGTGCCTGGTGAGACATTCTTATTTTAAAGGGTAGCTGGTTATCTCAGGAGAACTGGTGGTCTTCCTGAGACAAGCCAAGTGTCTTAGGGTTTGTGCGGTCACAAGTAACAGGACCCCACACAGGAAGACTAGACAAAAAAATGATTTATCAATGGGCTACAAGAGCAGCCCTTACAGAACTTAGTGGCAGAGGTACAGCTGGGCTTGGGGGGCCAGGGACAGGACCGGAGATCTGTCAACAGCTGAGGGGACCTTCTGCTTCCCTGGGACTGTTGTCCATGGACTCTTACCACAACTGCCTTGTTCACTCCCCGTCTCTGCTTTTCCTTGCGTCTGGGTCACATATGGCTGCCACTGAGTCACCTGTCCTCCGTTCAGCATCCCATGTTCACAATCCTGCACAGAGAGTTCGGCTGGGACAGCTTGGACCAGGTGTCACCCTCCTGGCCCAGACCCCAGGAGAGCCTGTGGGGTCAAGGCCACATGGGACAAACCCAGCCTGGCCTAGGTCAAAGACTCAGGTTACGTGTTTGTTGTTATAAACAGGATGTACTTGGGGCCTACCTAAAGAGAGGGAATTGGGCATGTCTCCCAAAGAAGTTTACTGGACCAGGCTGAGTTTTTGCTTGATTTGTTGGGGGACCAGAGTGTTAAAGGACTTTGGGGGCAGGAGAGCGATGCTGGCTCATGTGTTAATGACAGGCCCCTGTTTGGATCTGTGCGAGCTGGGCAAGGAGCAGCTGGTGCCATGTTCACTGAGGAAAGAAAGACTTGCAGATGATGGGCACCTTCCTTCTCCCTGGCATTGGTTGGCATGCAGCATGCTAAACGACCCAAGAAAAGGGAGATCTGCCCTCTGTTTTCCACATTGTATGAATTTGCTGTGACTTTGGATAAGTCACTGAACCTCTCTGGGATTCTGTAACTCTAATTCTTTCATTAATAGGTTACATATATACACATACATACATGTGTACACACATATGTATACACTTACGTACTTATGTACTGTATTATTTTAGCAGATTATTATTGTGTTTCTCTTTGCTGGCCTGGAAAGGAAGGGTCTCAGAAGGCCTGCCAGAGGTTGGAGGATTATATATTGCTTGTAGCTAGGAAGAGAGCTGCTTTGTCATCTCATGGGGGAGGAATGCCTGCTGGACGTGAAGAATTAGGCATGTTTTGGTGACCCAGGAAGCTAGAAGTGATTAGAAACTTGCACTGTCTCAGCTCTGCTCCCTTTGGGGGCTGGGTGAGCATGGGAACCTTTTGTAGACTTGGGGAGAAAGACTTTAAAAAAGATCGGAAAGGCCCACTGCTAGAAACTGTGCTGGTTCTCTAGGATTTTTTTTTTAAAGCACCTGTTACCTGGCTGTCCCCTAGAGGACAGAGTACTTGGCAGGGACAAACAGCTGGGCCAGCCCTCCTGCAAGTGACTGGGAATGAGAGCCGAGCACCTCCCAGGCAGGGAGGACAGGTGCAAAGGGGCTTACCCCAGCTCCCACCATTCTGAGAGGAGAGAGGAGGTGCCCTCGGCAGGCAGCAGAGCCAGCCCAGCCGCCGGCTTTCATTTCCCTTCCTCGCAAGAGCTATTTATGACAACCCGTCAGGGCAGGCTGATGGGGCAGATCGCTTTTGGCAGAAGTCCTTTCTACTTGTCATAAATTAAATCACAGAGAAAGCCACCGGAGGTGAATACAAAGAAAGTCCAAGACCACTGGCTGGAGGTTAATAGCTATTAGCGACCCAGGGTTCAGGAGACTTTACAAATCCACAAATACGAACAAGGCAGGCTCCTCCAAATAAATTGCGCCGTTAACAACTAAGCATGCTGTCTGGGATGAAAGTCACAACTCAGAATCGCAAATGATAATACAGCAAGAGCAGGACAAATGCGGCCTGCCCAGAGAACTTTCCAGTCCTCACAGAACATGCACACATTTTTATTCCACCACAAACTCCTCTGATCCTGTGAGGTGGGCTGGCCAGCTATTATCTCCTGAAAATGCCATGGCACTTGCCTATGGTCACACCGCTGGTAGGTGCCAGAGCCAGGGTTGAGAGACAGGCCCCTGGATCTGCCTCCAGCACCCTTCCCATGATGTCAGGAAGCTCCTGCAGGCTGGGTGCAGGCCACGTCACGGGCGGTGCAGGAAGCGGTGGTGACAGCTCGTCACACAGAAGCGCCATGGCGTAGCCCAGAAAAGAGCCCAGGGCTCGCCACTTGAAGCCCCTAACTAGATTCCTGCCTCACTTTGGGATAAGGGGCTTTAAATGCTCCCCATATTACCCTCTTAGCACAGGGTAATATGTGCTCATTGTTTAAAAAAATATATACAGGTATGCATAAGGAGAATATAGAACGTATAAGAAATATGTAGAAGTGATAATCCCACCGTTCAGAGATGAGCATTGTCACCGTTCAGGGCACCAGTCTCATCCTTGCAGACACTTTCTCTTCATCTTGACACATCTTTCCTCACCAAAATGGAATGGTGGTTTTCCCACCGTTCTGTAACTTCTCATCCCGTATATTAGGAATGTCTCTCCATGTCAAATACACTTCAGTGATTTTCTCATTCCATTAGAAATGCTATATGTATATTTCTTGATTGAAGATATAACCATAAAGTTATATATCCTCACTAAAAATACTCAAATCCAAACAGCGCAGGTATGTATAGCAAAGGAAGGAAAAGTTTTCCTGAATTCCCTGCTGGAGACCTAAGCAGTATTGCTAATTTCATCATCACATTTTTCTGTGCCCAGACTGGACACGTAGATGCATTTTCTCTTCTGCAAAGTGGATCCACCTGCTGTTTGGCAGTTTTCTTTTCCCTTCCTGCATATCTGTAGTGTGGACATCTTTTCCTGTTGGTACAGGAGGCTCTAAGGCATCTTCCTTCCAGTTCTGGGAAAAGGATCCTCAGGAGGGCCTGCCCCTCAGGTGGCCACTTGCCCTCTTGAGGGGGGTGGGTGTGGGCAGACAGGCCCCACATCAGCCCTGCAGGACCTCCTGAGTGGGGCTTCCTGCAGCCCCTCATGGGATGCTGTGTGCTGTCTCAGGTGTATACATTCTCACGACCAGCCTGATCCCTGTGCTGGAGAAAGAACACGACCCCCGAGTGGTGAGTTGACCTTGTGGGATATTTTGAGAGTAATGGATTTTGCTCCTGATGGGAAATTGGTGGGCCCAGGTTTGCTGCCAGGCTATCCTAAGGGGGCCATTCTGTCCACATCCACAGCAAAACCGTGATTCTGTCAGGGAGGGGGAGGGCAAGAGGGAGGTGGAGGCATACCAAGAGAACATTTAGACCCTAGCCCTCTCTGAACCCCCCGGCCCCACCCCCAGCTGTCACATGGGTGTCGGCAAAGCACTGGGGAGGGAGGCCTCTGAAGAGCAGGGGCAGCTTGTAGGGCGCTTAGGTCAGGGTGGTGGTGCTTTTCCTGGGGACTCTCCTGCTCAGAGGGGAAGGGACTGGCTACTGGAGCCTGTTCTCCCCCAGTGGGTTGAAATACCATACATTGGGGAAAGCAGGAAGAAGACAGTTGATGGAGGCTGCCTTCTGTCTGCTGTGATGGGCAGAATAATGATACCCCCTCAGCCTGCACCAAAAGTTCTTATCCTAATCCTGGAACCTGTCACTATGTCACCTTTAGATAGCAGGAGGGACTTGGCAGCTGCAGTTCAGTTCAGGGTCTTGAGATGAGGAGCATGTCCTGGAGTATCCAAGTGGGCTTGATGGAGTCTCAAGGGTCCTATGGGAGGGAGGGAGGGAGGAGGGCCAGAGTCAGGGGAGAAGTGACTGTGGAAGCAGAGGGTGGACGATGTGGCTGTGAGCCGAGGAGTAGCCTCTAGAAGCTGAAGGCAAAAGATGGAGTCTCCTGAAACCAGCAGGGGGGACACAGCTCTGCTGACACATGGATTTTAGCCCCATGAGCCCCATCTCAGACTTCTGGCCTCCAGAGCCGAGGGAGAATACATGTGCTGTGTCAAGCCATAGCAAACTCACTGCTCCACAGAGGGCGAAGAGTGGAAGGGGTCACAGGCTTTACTTTGTAAATCTGTTACCTTTATTGCAGATAACCGTCTCCTCAGGAGGAATGTTGGTTCAGAAACTGAACACTGATGATCTCCAGTCTGAAAGAACACCGTTTGATGGAACTATGGTCTATGCACAAAACAAGGTCAATGACGTGGGTTTCCCAAGACTGCATTTTACCCATGGGCTGTGCGGGCCCTCTTCCAAGGAAAGCTGACTCTGGGATGCACAGAAATTGGACCTTAGTAGTTCATGTAGCACCTGAAAATGTTTCCGGACTAAGAGGGCCCCTCTTTGGGGAGCACAGCTCTGCTCAGGCCTGGGGGGCTTTCCGCAGCATTGGAGGAGAAGCTACAAAGCTGCCATGTCTCCTCTCGATGTTTCTCAGACCCAAACAGAACAGAATCCTAGCAGGGAGATCCACTGTCCTGTGCTGCTTAGAGAGAATGAGGTCCCTCCCCTCTACTCTGGGCAGCTCCTGGCTCCCTGGCTAGACAGATGCCCAGGCTTACTGGGAGGGCTGCACATGGAATTTTGAGGGACTGAAGAGGCCAGAGTCCAGAACCCTTGACTACTCTGAACAGAAAGTAGATTTCTACAGATTGAGCATCCTTTGTCTGAAAATCCCAAATCCAAAATGCTCCAAAATCCAAATCATTGTGAGTGCTGACATGATGTCATGAGTGGAAAATCCCACACCTTTCCTTTCTGATGGTTCCATGAACACACCTTTTGTTTCATGTACAACATTATTTTTAAAATATTCTGTGAAATTACCTTCAGGTTATTTGTATAAGGTGTCTAGACTTGAGTTCCATCCCCAAGGTATCTCATTATATATATGCAGATATTCCAAAATCTGAAAAAATCTGAAATTTGAAACACTTCTGGGCCTCAGCATTTCAGATGAAGGATGCTCAACCTGTACTGCTGTGTCTCTGCTTATTACAGCTATATTTAAAAGCCGGATATATATAACTTCCATATTTACAGTTCTTGCCCTTAAATTCACCTGGTAGGGCGCCCACATTGTCTGTAAGGCTGCCAGCCCCTCCGCTTTCCCTGTCGGTACTGTGTGCCTTCTGAAGGGGGCCCTGTCTGGGACTCTGCGCCTCCACGTCTGCTTGTATGCCCCAGGTGTGCCCAGTTTTGCTCCCTGACCCCAGACCAAATCCTGGTGAATTACATCTCATGACTCCAAATCCTGACATTTGAAGGAGCCGCACTTCTTTAGTTTTCCCAGAGGACATGGAAAGAAACCGTCCACTTGTGATAAATGAGGCCCAGAGATGGAGTTCTCTGCCAAGCATGCTCAAACTGCCCTGGGACGGGCAGTCGTGTGACTGCAGCTGGGAAAGGGAAGTATTTAAGGGTTTTAATGTCTATAACCGGTATATTTTCTAGTACATTGTTCCCAGTACATTTGCTATGCCCTGCCTAAGGCAGGAGTTAATTCCCTATTTTTTTTTTTTTGAGATGGAGTCTCGTTCTTGTTGCCCAGGCTGGAGTGCAGTGGTGTGATCTTGGCTCACTGCAACCTCCATCTCCTGGGTTCAAGTGGTTCTGCCCCAGCCTCCTGAGTAGCTGGGATTACAGGCACCCACCACCACATCTGGCTAATTTTTGCATTTTTAGTAGAGATGGGGTTTCACCAAGTTGGCCGGCTGGTCTTGAACTCCTGACCTCAGGTGATCCACCTGCCTCAGCCTCCCAAAACGCTGGGATTACAGGCGTGAGCCACCACACCTGGCCTTAATTCCCATATGAGCAGAACACCCACTCCATGCCAGTCTGTGCTGGGGGCCTGAGGTACAGCAGTGAACAAGACAGATACCACCCCTGCCCTCAAATTGAGCAGCAAAGAATAGAGTCAAAGAGGCGATCTGTGGACAAGGAACACCTGGGTGCTGAAGGGCATAATTTCATGGGTGGTGGATCTGCTGTTCTCCTCTTTCACAGCGTTTTGCTGGGTTTGCTTGTTGCTTGTTCTAGCCTCCTTTGGAGGAGGGAGAGCCTTCTAGGTCCTACTCAGACCTTCTGGGTCAAGAGTGATTCTGGACAAGGGTGATATCAAGGGGCCATACATACTACAGAGTCCAGTGTAAGAGATGCAGGCTGGGCAGGCTTATCTCCTGCCCTTGCACCTAATGGCACCTCCTCTCTCCTGTTCACCCCCTCTCCTGTCCAGAGGCAGCAAGTGGTTCTGACGGAGCAGTGGGCCCAAGGGCACCCGGCCATCCATTTTTCTTCCATGCATCCTGGCTGGGCCAACACCCCAGGTATGTCATAGCCTTTAATTGCTGAGCCACTTACCTTTCATCTAAAAATACCTGAGCAGCCGCAGGATTGACTCTCCCCAGGAATGACCTAAAACTAGTGTAATGAGGACTGAGGAGTTGCTTCATTTCCATTTAGGCAGGGGCGCGTTGGGACTGCACCTGGGGGAAGCCTCATGCAGACAGAGCTTTTGCTTGCAGCTTGCCCTGTGCAAGTCAGGGAAGGGGATGGTGGGAACCGGAGCAGGCGCTGCTGGGTCACCCTCCTAACTACAGCGCATCCTGGCAAGAGGGAGCTGTTGACCACTGTCATTTCCATGTCAGACAGGAATGAGCAGGGCCTGAGGGAAGGCAGAGAGAGAGGCCCAGGCTGCCTCACTACTCCCCAGGTTTTTGGAAATAATGATGCTTGAAGGTAAATGACTGCCACAAGGACACAGTTCGAATGATCTGGAAGCGTGTTGGGGCAGCGGTGGAGGGAAGGAGAATCCTTTTTCCGGTCTGCCTCACTCCATGGGCTCAGGCAGCTCACCTGAGCTCTCTGCAGCTCTTTCCTCCTCCACAAATAAGGGAACTGAAAGCAGCAGCAGCCACAGCACACACCTTAGGGTGCACCCGCGGTGCCAAAAGCTGGTCTCAGTGCTGTCTGCGGATTCACTCGCTCATCCTAACAGCCCCCGTGGGGTGGCCACACCTGTCTGTTATCATACCCATTTACAGATGAGGGAACTGAGGCCCAGAGAGGCTAAGACCTCCCAGCTGGTCCTGGCCAGGGGGTATTAGGGATTAGGCTCTCACATACTGCTGGCACGGCCTTTCTGAATATCAGAAGCCTTGAAATTCATCCTAAGAAATAAGGATTGGGAAAACAAGCACTGCTTATCACAGTGCTGGTGGTAGGAGATGAAGTTGATAAATTATGGAACGCCTGTACAAAATCTGTTTAGGGCTGAAGACTCTGCTGTCAATCATGCTTATGGAAAAACCCCTGTGTGCACTATATCATTAAATGAAGACACTAAGTTCCCAAATAGTACACACCTTGTGATCTTATTTTTGTGACTACCACATCCCTATAGAAGGTGTACACTGGTGCTTTGTGACATCCCATGGAGACCAGCTTGGAGATTTGGCAGAAACTAGCCCTCTGCTGCACAGATGAGAGCCTCCTGTCTTAAATACAAAAAGGATGTTCTCAGCAAAGTGCACCAGGGGAGTGCTCAGGAAGCGTGGCTTCTCCATTCTTTTGACTGCCTAATGGGAGACATGCTTGCTTCTGCCTGTCCAGGGTGAATTCTAGGAGACCATGGGGGACCCCTAGCCTCTTACCCTCCAAGGATACCATTCTAAGAATCCCAACATCAGCTAAGATGTTTAAAATCTGCCTGGCACGCCTTCTCCTGGGATCTGTAATCTGGGTCTACCATGTATTGCTCACAGGTTAGAGAGTGGCTCTCAGGTGCACATGACCTTGGCTGTGGCCCCAGGGGCCTGCGAGGGCTGAGGATGTGGACATATGTCACCTCTGAGTGATACACCACCAGGTTTTCAGATTTTTTCATTTTTGCCTAGCAGACCATTCTGATTTTTCCACAATTAACAAGTATTGCTTCTGTAAAAAGAAAAAAGATGTTTAATTTTAAAAAGGAGGGCCTTAGCTTAGGTGATCCTTTTAATCTCTAAAAGCTCATGATCTCAGTAAGGCTCTTAATAGTTGTTTTCTCTGGTTTCTTTTCTTTCCTTGGCTTCGAGAGAGAACTATTTTGTTTCCCAATGTGCTCACTGTGGAGACACTGTGTTCCCTGAGGTCTGTGGGAAATGGTGTGTGGCCTGCAGCCAGAGCCGTGGCTGGGTCCTCGAAGGCGTGGGCAGGTGGAGCGGCCAGCTTGGGGCCACCTGCGGCACAGGCCAGGCCCGGGCAGGCTACTCCAGGCAAACACCTCCCTGCAGCCCTGGGATGCAGAGGGAGGGGCACCTCGAGGGGCTTGGCAGAGAAAGTGAAGAATTAGCTCCCCTCATCTACTCCTCCCTAAAAAGAGGAAAATAGTAAAACAGTCCAAGGAACCAACAGCCGGGCTTCTCCGAGCCTAGGATGGTTTGAGAGGGCACCCGAACCCAGGAGGCGGAGTGAAGGTTTGCTCGACCCAGTCTCATTGTGGGCCCCACCGCTTATTAGAATCCTCTCCTAGGGTGGAAAGGGGGGCTCTGCTGGAGACTCTGCTCTCGCGCTGGGCTTGGGTGCTGGTGTCCCGGGGACATGGGGACTCAATCAGGCCCATCAGGGACACCTCGAGGGCTTTTTAACAAGGTTCTTTGGAATGGCTTGTGAGTGCTACTTTTAAGTAGAAAGAGCAGTGTATGATCCAATTTCATTTTTACACTTTTTTTTTTTCCTAGTAAGGGAAGTCAACCACCTTTGCTGGAGAATTCTGTCCTAACCCACCTGCCCCTTCCTTTTCTCAGGTGTGAGGCAGGCGATGCCGGGGTTCCATGCCAGGTTCAGGGACCGCCTGCGCTCCGAGGCCCAGGGCGCCGACACAGTGCTGTGGCTGGCCCTCTCCTCCGCTGCAGCCGCGCAGCCCAGTGGCTGCTTCTTTCAAGGTGACTTCCTCCCTGGCTATGAAGGCAGCTGACACAGGGCTGGGGGCAGCAGCTGGGCCTTAGAGGTCCATCTTCCCCTCCGTGAAACACACATTGGGACCGACCCCTGGAGGGTGCCTGGGCTTCTTTGGCGAGATGATTGCTTTGCCTGCTGAGGTTAGTTTTGGGAAGTGCTTTACCCCAGATTGGTAGATTCTTTGAAGACTTGTGATAACCCTGTCATCAAGGTCCTGTGGAGACAAGGTAGAGGCAGTTCCTACCTTGGGGATTTTCTCTGCAGTTTCCTGAGGCCCGGAGGGGCGCTATTCAAAGCTCCAGTGCAAAGGGAGTAATCAACTCGACTCTATTTTTGGAAGCAGTGATCTGTTCACGTCTCTCCCCAGTGGGATCCTAAGGGGGCAGGGGTATGGTGCATGCCATCTGAAGAGAACACTTGACCTTGGGTGGAAGCCAGACTCTTTGCTCTGCTTCTCTTTCTTCTCTTCTTGATGAGAACCACCTTGCTTGAGGGATCCTGAAGCGCTGGTGACCCCTGGGGTGTCTGGGAGGATGGCCGTGCCCCTTCTCACTGATCATTGAAGCGTGGTCTCCCACCCAGCCCTGGGTGCAGCCTGCCAGTTCCCAAACTGCACTTCACAGTCGACCCACGCTGCCTAATCCATGTGGGACCTCTGAGGGCAGGATGGGGTCTAACACCCGCGGGCACCACCACTCCCTCCCCAGCAGGCGTCATTTCAGGGCCTGAGCAGCACAGGGACAGAGGCCCAGCCCCGCTGTGGCGGCTAACACGTTTCCGCTGTTCCCTCTCACTTTTAGATCGGAAACCAGTCTCTACACACTTGCCTCTCGCTAGAACGTTCTCCTCACCGGCTGAAGAAGAGAAACTCATTGAAATCCTAGAACAGCTGGCTCAGACATTTAAATAGGCCAACCCAGATGCAATGTGGTATCAGAATTGCCTTAGAAAGTACCAGAAGGTGTGGTCTAGGGACCAGTGAACAGACCCCACTTCAACTTCCCCTTGAAGATGTTGTGCCTTACAGTGAGGAGCCTACAAGGTATGGGAACTTTTGTTTCAAAATAAATCCTACTGGGGCTGTGATTAGGCTCACCCTGAACTCCTGCAGTAGGCTCTTTTCTTGTTTAAGTCTCTCATTTATTTGAAAATGTAGTTTTCTAAAGAATTTGCAGTTTGAGATGAGCCACCATTGTCAGTCTGAGGGGAGGCAGGGGTGGAGGTAGCAGGAATGCCCCGCTGTGGACTGTGCTTCCCCTCCCTTTCTCAGATCCTCAGTGTCAGAGGCTGGTATTGGGCCCCCCTGCAGGAGAGGGCTGGGCACTGCCTTTGCTGTTCATGGTCCCAGGAGCACAGCATAACCAAGGGACAATGTGTATTTACATACACCATTTACATGAGGCCTAGTTTACATTTGCTTAAGATTAGGAGTGGCTTCTGTAATGCATCTGGCATTCTGGAACTATACTGTGATAAAACCTCTAATTTGTAGCATTTTACCTCTTAGTGACTCCAGGGAAAGCTGTAACAAAACCAATGAGCAGATTTAGAATATATCTACATAGATTCTTGGTGTCCATGGTGGAATAAACATAACTCATACCCCAGAGGAAAACTTAGATGGCCGCAGCTTCTTGGTGGTCCTTGAGCCCTGGATGGAAGTGTCTCATCAGCCAAGGACCCCAAGGAAGGGATTGTTGTGGATGTGCCAGCCTGAAACATCAACATCGGCGTCTTTCTGACAAAAGGTGGTGCTATCAAGCACGCACCAGCTCCATTTAACTGCATGCCTCCTTTTCTGCAGGAGGAAGATGGGCCTCAGCAGTGCTGGGTGTGGGCAAGGCTGTGCTGGCAGCACCAGGACAGGGCAACTCAGCCACCCCCTCAACGGTGATTCCATAACAGGCAGGTCACTTGGTATCTTTGTACCTATTTTTCTTCTCCATAAAATGAACCCCACAAGTTTTAAAAGAGGCTTTCTCTGGCAGTGTTTGCCCTGAAGTCCTCATTTGGAAAGTTTACTAAACGCAGGAAAAAGCCGATTTACATGACAAAGAAAAAGGGCTCCCTGGCCACAGCCCGTATATGTGCTTAGACTGTGGTGAATGGGCCCAAATTCACCTTTAGACGGCAGCTCTCCCTGGTGTTTAGACCAGATGGAGTGGTCGGAAGCCCCCTTCCCACCAAATGGACAGAACCCGTGTGGCTAAAGAGCACAGCAAGGTTGTCAGTGTGTGTGTGGCCGCATGGAACAGTGATGGGACCACAGCTGCAGAAAGGTTTTCACAGACATGTATTTTAAACCATGGAGGCAACTCCACACTGAGAGTTGTACGTTGGTAACAGCTACACGTATATTTTGGTTAGAAGGAAGCACAGCGGGAAAGTGAGCGGAATAAAAACATTCACAATATTCAGCAGCATTTGAATGGAGGCCTGGATACAGACATTTCAACATTCTCGGAAATTCTTGCTCATTACCAGCTAATCACATTCAGGAAGTCAAAGTCAGGACTGATCAGGACCGGCAGGGAGTGGCAAATGCTGGAGGGGTCCAGCTAGACCACACGGGAGAAATCTGTTCCAACGTCAGGCTTATTACCTTCTCAGCCTGACCTCCTGAAGAATCTCCTCACTTCAAAAAAAGAAAAAGATGCCCATACGGTAACATGCCCACGGCAGCCAGGTCCAGAAGTGGGCTGCAGCCCAGTGGAGGTACAGAATGGAAGATCCATGTCCCTGGTTAGAGGTTGAGTGGTAGGCAGGCACTAATGTGGGGCCAGCACCTTCCCTGTTGTCCAGTTAGTAACAGTTTTTGTACTTTTCATATGAAGATTTCCTTTTGCAAAATGACAGTACCTTGAAAAAACAAAGTCATTTAAAAAGCAAGGCAAATGGTATAAGACACAAATACATGAGTACAATGGTTACGAGTGACACTAGTATTTTGGTCCATACTTCATATTGGCATATACTACCAATGTAAGGCTGCCATCCACTTAAATGATAAAAAGAGTATATATATGAGAAACATTTTTCAAACCATTTTCCCTTTGTGAGTGACCGCTCATCTTCTCATGCATCCCCGATAACCAAGGGAAAAAAGAATCATAAATATCAAGGTCAGATTCTCAATCTAACTTTTAAGCCAACCTGCAATTCCTGACACTTCCAAGTCAAATATTCTTGCAAAGGTAAACATTTTGAGGTATCTATTTTTAATGAGATGGTACCATGATTAATTTCCACCTTTACCATCTTTAAAAAAATTTTTTTTTCCTGCAAACTCATGAAACTTCATCTTTTTCCAAAACCAAACTTAGTAGCCTCTAGATGGAAAAAGTCCAGAAAGCAACTCACTTGATATGATGGAAGACAACAAAGGCATGTGGTGATAGACTCTTCTTTATCCAAGCGAAGGCAGCAATATGCGGGCAGGTCACTGGTGAGGGGTTAGGCAAGTCCGGTAATAAACAAGACTCATAGAATCATAGAATCACAGGACTGGAAGGGACCTTAAGAATGATGATTCAATTCATCCCTTACTCAAGCCTTTCATCTCCCTTTCAACATGGCTGGCAAAGGCTACATACTCTTTGTTAAAAAAAAAAAAAAAAAATTCCCTGGTATGGGACATGCAAGGAAGACATCCCATTCCAGTTTAGGACAGATCTAATTTTTAGACACTGCTTTCACGTGTCAAACCTAAGTAGGCTTCTTGGTGGAAAGGATAATGTTTAAAGGCAAAAATACAAATCACAACCCTGAAGGGTTGACATGTGGTTCTTGGTTATGAATCTGAGCTGCAGTTTAAACAGGAACACAGATGTTTCTGGGCTGTTTTGGACATAGATCTTTGGGTCCTACAAGGAAAAGGCAAATGATGTGATAGCAAAGACAGGCACTGCCATGCCCCCATGTGGTGCAGTGTTCCTGCCTCCACAGGACTGGGTCTCCCAGGCAGACCTGTGTATGAATTGACAAAAATCTCTCCCTTCCCCTTGCAAGTGCCCCTGTGAAGAGGATCCCCCACATTGGACTGGAATGATCTGTGACTTGCAGGAGCAGGAATTGGAGGGCAGCAGCTGCACCCAAACACGCGCCACCGCCTGTCGGTGCAATGCCACACTCAATAGAACAATCCCTTCCTGCCGCAGGTCCAGGGCTTTCCTTTACCAAAGTGGACCAGCTGAGCCCAGCACATTTTTGGCATTAGTCTGGGAGTCCTTCCTGGTTGCAGGCTGTGCATATAATAGTCTCCACCTCCTCCCAGATTCCAGTGAGAGGCTGTGCACCCAAAGATCCAAAATTAGTTATCTTGGGTCGTTTTCAGATAACAGCTCTAGGGATTTCCAAAGAAAAAGAAACTGATACTATTATAATATAAACTAATAGTAGCATTGGCTGCAGGAGGAGCCCCTGGGGAAACCCCTCCTGGTGAGATGTGTGCTGCTTCCTCTGAGGCCAGGGAACAGCAGCATCTGATGGTGACAAGCTCCGTTCCGGCACTGTAGCTGAGCCACATGGCTGTTCTCCAGCAGCTCCAGCCCACTTGTGATCCCTGGACACACCACACTGACTTCAGCACTCAAGCCTTTGTTTATGCTATCTCTGAAGCCTGAAAAGTCATTTCCATTTTTCCCCCTTATGACTCACTCCTCATCCTTTAACACTGAGCTCAAGTCCTTTCCTCTGGGAAGCTCCTCCTGCCACACCTGCTGGGTTAGTGGCATCCTTGGCGTGCCTCTATCACGACCACATTGTACTGAAATGACCCATTTACTCACTGTGTGACCTCTGCCCAGCCTGGGAATGGGCCTCAGACGCCTTGCACCGCCAGTGCCTAGTTTAAAGCCTGGTCAGCACTCAGCACGGTTGATATGAACATTCAAATCTCAAAGATCATCTAGATAACTCAGTGTTCAACATGAACTTAATTTCTGCGTTTTTGAATCTCAAGTTAATACATATCTGCCTTCATACTAGGAAAAATTCAACAACATTATTTTAAAGGAGAAAAAAATAAGAATGTATTGGTAAAGTGCCTTCTTTCACTTTGAAATATAAATCTTAGTGAACAGGAACACTTACATACAATTAAACTTTTATGAATAGCCATAACCAAAGGAATCTCATTTAGTGAACGTCCAGTAACTGTGACCCACAGTTAGAGCTACCCTTTTGCTTAAAAAACAAAATTTGGGCCTTAAGAAGTGATTAATGTCAGGCAAAAATAAATTATACTTTTATTTATTTATTCAGGGTCTTGCTCTGCTGCCCAGGCTAGACTGCAGTGGTGTAATCATAGGTCACTGCATCCTTGAATTGCTGGGCTCAAGTGATCCTCCTGCCTCAGCTTCCTGAGTAGCTGGGAATACAGGAGTGTGCCACTACACTCAACTAATTTTTAAATTTTTGGTAGCAACAGGGTCTTGCTATGGTGCCCAGGCTGGTCTTGAACTCCTGGGCTCAGTGATCCTCCAACCTTGTCCTCCCGAAGTGTTAAGATTATAGGTGTGAGCCATGGCACCTGGCCTACACTTTTATAAAATGGATCTCAGAAAATGAAAATATAATATTCCATAAGGGCAGTGCTGTAAGCCCAGGAATCATGGCCAAATGGGGTAGGGTGAATTTTAAGTGCCCCTAAATTTCCGTTTCAATTTTGTCCCTGGAGTGGTCTAAGGGGGATGTATAGGAAGGAATTTATGTGGATGAAGGCAATAATTACCTCCCCCACCACAGGGCTGGGGCCAAAATAAGTGTCATATACACTTGCAGTAAGAGGAACAAACCTGTTTCCAGGGAGCACCCTGTCTCAGGGCGCTGAAAATCTCTCTTCCCACTTATGCCATTACTAAGTAATGTTCAAAAACAGCTATTCCTTGAACATTCTTTTAGATTCTCTTGTTTACATCTCAGCCATAGCTAACTGCCTGGTATATAACTAAATGTGTTTTCTGCTTGGAACACTCTAGATCTCTGAAGATCCCTTCCTGTGTTGTGACTTCATGATTTCTTGAATAATTAAAACAATCAAATGAGAAACTCATTATGGTGGGTTGACCTCATGCAAAATGACACAAGATTCCAAATGCTTAATCTCAAACAATGTTGCTATTGTGAAGACACATTCAGGCAGTAATGTCAAGTAATGTCATTCGTTGGGAGGAACCGAGAGCATGTGGTTTTGTCCCGCCAGGCAGAGAACAACTCTGTATGATATGTGTCGATCTGCCACTTTCTCAACACAGTCACGTTAGGCATTATTGGCAAGAGCTGCTATATGTTTTAAGTAATAGAGCAAAAATATATGTAAAGTGCAAATCCAAAGGGTAAAACAAGAATTATGAGAGTTCACCTGGACAGAACAAAGCCAAGTGCCGGCGCCAGCTTTCACTCCTAAGGAATGGAGCCTCCATTTCCATAAAATGCTTGGAAGACACTCAACACCAGTACATATTTCTCTACAAATTACAAAAATGGGGGAGACAGTTAATGCAAAACTCAAGAATTCACAGTATTACAGACACACAGTTGGTTTGCTAAACGCATTTCACCAAATTCAAGCACCCACACAGATGAGAGAAAAAGGAAGAGCAATGGATACCTTGACTTATCCGTGGTTTCTTGATCATGATTCTCCACACCAGTGAGATGTCAAGTGGCTTCAGCCTCTGAGTGGCTCCGTGGGCTGGGAGGGAGACGGTAGAGTGGCATGCAGGGCCACAGGCCAGAGCCACCGTAGAGTACATACGCAATCTGACAGGACACTGCTTCCCGAATGAGGTCTGAACGCATCTAGACCCATCTCAGAACCCACACAGGCTTGCTGGGGCTTCGCTGTCCTAATACTGTGTTCCTCTCTCTATAGACAGGCCAAGCTCAAAGTTCAGGAAGGGAAAGTAGAGTGATTCATGTCTATTACCCATTTTCCACACACAGTCCTCTATTACATACAACTTAGCAAGTGGCTGCAGGTTCTAGTAATAAACTACAAAATAGATATTTGAATATTTTAAATTTCATTCCCTTATTAAAGCTCTCTCACGGAGCAATCATGCAGAAAAGACTCCAAGTAGTTATAATGGTTTTGACTGATGCAAGCAAGGGTAGTGTGGACCAGGGCAGCGAAGTGACAAGCACTAACAGCCTTGTGCGGTTCATGCGTGTGTGCCTCTTCAAGGCTCTGGTCACATGGGCTGATCTGGTCTGATGGCTCAGGCAACAGCTGCCATGGACCATGGCTGCATGGGACACACGTGCTGGTCCTACTTCCCAATGCTGGGGCAGCAGAATCACCTCTAGGAAGAAAGCACATGTGGGGCAGTAGCGAGGATGGCTTGTAGTACTTCCCCCTAGTTAGAGAAGGAATGAATGATTGTGAGGGCAAAAAACGGCTTTCCAGGAAAAGAGGGAAAATAATAGGGGGGATTTCAATTTCACTCCCATATATATTACCACCAAAAACCTGCAAAATCAGAAGAGGGCAAGACACTTTGAGGTGGGGCTTGGGTCAGGAAGGACAAACAATTGGCCTGTGATCCTCAAGAGACTGGTGAGCTCCCTGATGCTCCGGGCACACGAGGCTGAATGAGCTGTATGTGTAAAGTGCTTAGGAGGGGCAGGCACCCAGAGCAGGCTTTCCATTAATTTTCCATTTTTACAGGTGAAATAAGACTTTAAAAAGGACTTCAATATCCTGAGTTGAGCCACTACACACAAGAGTATTTCATTTTCTCAAGCTTGATTGGACTCCCTTAGATATAAGAGTTCTTCAGGTGTACTCTCTAAAGTCCTCTTTTCCATTCCCCATGGGAACACAGCCTGCGCTGTAGGTACCTGTCTCGGACCAATCACATACTGTTTTAGTAAGAAAGTGTGCAAAGTGTTCTGATGAAAAATATCTAGTTTTTAAAGGGACAGACTACAGAGGGTGAGGAATACAGCAGAATTACAACCTTGCTATAATGAACACATTCAAGTTCAGAGATGATGTCACACAGAAAAACACATCTTAAAGACACTTATTTTAAGAGCATGTATGGTAGGGGTCCCCAACCCTGGGCTGTGGATGGGCACTGGTCCATGGCTTGTGAGGAGAGAAATGAGGCTGCACATCAGAAGTGGGCAGCAGGCAAGTGAGTATTACTGCCTCAGCTCCGCCTCCCATCAGATCAGCGGTGGCATTAGATTCTCATAGGAGCACGGACCCTATAGTGAACTGTGCATGCAAGTGATCTAGGTTGCATTCTCCTTATGAGAATCTAATGCCTGATGGTCTGAGGTGGAACAGTTTCATTTTGAAGCTGGTCCCTGATGCCAACAAAGTTGAGGACTGCTGATGTAGGGTTCTGTGTGTGTGTCGTTCTTTTTTCATTGTTATGAGGAAGAGCTGTGTCAAAAAACTAAGGCTCAGGAGGCTCCAACTGAATTCTAAATGATCCAGGCACTGATCATTGAAGCTCTGAGTTAAAATAATCTACTTCTGTGATAACCATGGTTGGGAGCAGCTTTCTCACAGCATTTTTTTTTTTTTTTTAATATGGAAAAGACAGAGGCAACTGAGGCAGAAACACAGTCTTTTCTACTTAATAAGAACATGAATGAGGCAGACAT